GTTACATGCGCGCGAACTTGATGTATAATTTGCAAAATTTTGTGTTACTCACTCATTTATTGGAGGGCACTGTATGTGCTATTACAAGAAAAGTTCTTTTATAACGCGATTTCATTGTAACAAAGCTTTATTATTTGATTATTATATAATTAATATTAATAATATTAATATTAATTTGTTTGTGTGACTGTTACACCAGCTACTTGTGGATCGGGGCACAATATAAATCCCACAGTTCCAAGTGTCTTTGAGCACCTACCCCATATTAACAGCAAACGCTAACCATGTCCCGACAAAAAGTATCATTTATCCTTGTTGCTCTTCTACTTGGACTGTTCACTCTAGTGGCTGTGACGTTTAACCAAGGCTTTTTCAAACAAGCCCTTACTACTGATGTAAAAATTTGTAAGTCACAACAGACCTGGTTGTTTTTAAGTCAATCTCGCTTTCAGCATGATGACAGCGTTTTCAATTGCTTGAATATGGCAGCGCAAAATAGATACATCATTGTGCTCAAAGATGATGCGACCCCAGAAGATTTGGAAAAATTTGAAGCACATATTATTAACTCTGGAGGCAAGATCGTTCATAGATACACGGAGGTTCTCAAGGGATTTGCCGTCTCTATGCCTGAAGACGTAGTTATGACGATGAAGGATGACCCCAGCGTAGACTCCATTGAACTCGATCAGCCAGGTAAAATGTTGAGCATAAGACAATAACATCACATGTGTTAACTGAGAATGATTGTATACTGATGGTCCTTTCTTACTTAGTGAACGCCTACACAATGTAGTCCTCAGAAAAATTATGTGTTTCTAGGCCAACTCGTAAATGAATTGAGCATTTGAAGATTTTATTCGTTATCTTCTTTATCCATAAAGAGTATATTAACGCCATCATGTAATATTAACTCTATAATTTATTCAACAACTCATCTTTTAAAGTAAGATGCATTCGCTTAAGTTTTCTATTGCTTTATTAAATTTGCGATAAGTTACGTATAATTCATTTAAATATAAAACTCAAGCTTCCCATTCAAGAAGATAGAGGTTTGTGGATTGATATTAGATGCGGTAATGATGGTAGTGACCACTATTAGCGATAAAATTAGATAGAATTTATGCACTTTGATCTGACCATCGATATTCTCACGAGTGTTTTCCTATTCCTCGTCCCTATTGATCAAAAAGTATGGGATGAACAGATCGTTAGAAAAAAATGAGCTAGTATTTTTGTGAGCATATTACATTAACAACGTACGTCTCGCCGTCACTCCGGACATCCTTTGCGCTCTCGCCTCTAATCACTCGAAAAGCAATTCGAAATATTAAATAAAGCCAGAAATTGATTAACGCTTGAAGAGATAGAAACATTGATAAAAAGAATCGCTGCGAATTCTGTGTGAAATAGAAGCCTTTTTCGGGTAACCAATTATATGTGAGATATTGATGAGATTCCGCCCAAGTGGAATAGATGACAAAGCCATAGAGAACGTGTCGCGTTATAATCCATGAGATCATGAAGAACACAAACAGGACATCGCATACTCTGTTATAACCAAGGTATTTTAGCGTCTTGGCGAGCTGTGGAATACGGATAAATAAAATATGATGCGTGGTGAGAAGGGAAAAAAACAAAATCAACGATCAACTAGTTCCGTCATGCTTGCGGCATACTCACTGGCAGCAATATGTCTGCAAAATCCATAATACATAACACAGCGTTTCCAATCCGAGTATAATTACAATAATATGATACTCCTAGCAACGAAATCGTAATCACATGGTGTATAACCATTTCTGCAAAATCCTTTCGCCTCTTTTCGATATTAATAACAAATACTTGTTGCACCCAGAAAGAGAGTTGAACTAAGTAGTACCACTTGAATATGTAAGTAAGATGGGTATGTGGATAGCCTTTCCAAAATTGTGATGTATCAAACCAATGCGGTGAATGATACATGACGTACTGATAATAGAAAGGAAACAAATGACAGTTAACAGAAAAGTCTTATGTGCGAGATTGACCATTAAGACACTGAATAGAATTAAGTCAACCATTGACGCTGCTACTAACTAGTACCAGTAAAAGCTATGCTCATACATTATCTTAACAAATGTGAACAAACACATATGTTAATTTCCATTCAATCTAATACACCTTCCTTCAGTTCTCTATTGGCGCGTTTTTTTCTGAAACCGTATCCTCACTTACCATTCCTAATGTCCAAGATGTGGAATAATATATGAACAGCCATCCCTGCTCAGCGAATCTTATCGTTGTTTTTATGCCCTCTTTTTTTGCAATGGGAATAAGTAAATGTTCCATTACAGCTGCCCTTAGGAATGTAAACATAATGACCCAGAACGATACAAAATATATGTCATCTTTCCCCTTAGCATAGAGTCCAGTTTCTGGGTCTCGATATTTAATAAACAAAAATTTTTCCGCCTGTTGGACACCACACAAATACGCCATTCCTATAGTACTTATAACGGCTAGTGGAAGTTCTAACGATAGAAGAGCATATGAGCTGTATGAGTATTGGTTTCAGAGGGAAAAATAAGCTTACATGTATAGTGATTAGTCTGTCTGGAATTAACTGATGTTCGCGTAATCCCAAACCCAAATACATACAACATACCTATTTGATGTTTAATCAAGAACTCTCCAGCCTTTGAGAGGGTACTTTTTCTCGTAGGTTTCGCGGATTTCGCATGTTTTTCTCGAAGTTTATCCTGCTGTGTTCCATTGGTCGATTTCTTCATCGACATGGCGAGAAGGGATGAAGGTGTTGAAAGGCTTAGTAGTAGGCAAGAATTTCGTATACAAAGATGCCGGCAATCATAATTGTGTGAATGTAGTGTTTGATTGGTGACTGGTTTGGTGATGCGCATTGTGATAAGCCATAAGAGAGCACCGCCACTGATCTTCGATCATGCGTTGTAGCTTTGTAGCCCCAATTGAAGGCTTTAAGCTTGGAGTTTCTGCTGCTAATTCACCGGTTCTTTATAATAAGAAATCAATCATTCAATAATATCTTCTTCCTTTTTTTTATTCTAGCATTCTTGGGCGTAACTGTTAGGTTTACAGACCAACTTTTAGCATGACAATGACTCTTTTGTTCATGTGCGTGCGCTCATGGGTTACTCAAATATACTTCCAGTCAACTATTGGCAAATCTTGGATCTTCAATGCATTTTCTTTTTGGGGTCAATTAACCCGCATGGCTTTTACCAACTCGGAGTAATGAACTATGCAAGTTGTTCTCGTTCATACATTAAACGAAGAGATTCTTATTTTAACGCAATACAGTTATTCTTTCTACGGAAACCCATGTCGGCCTCGAGACTCATCAATGCAATAGGAAGGATGCGTCGGTTTAAGTAGAAAACAGAACTGGGAGATCATTAAAAAATAGACATGATACATACTAATACGTGCTTAAAGATTTTCTCAAATAATAAATGGTTGTATCTAAACTCTGACCTCAACAAATTTCTTGCTACTTGAAATTCAAACTGTGTTATTAGATTACTACAATAAATATCTATGTTTTGTTTCTTTTTTTAAGAACAACGTTAAATTAAAACATAATTTATTAATTATTTGGTTCGATGTCAGTTTAATGGGTTGTACATTCAGGAATTTCGACATTTCAAGGGTTTTATCAAGGATTATTTTACTGCTGTGTATGTATTTTCTCGACTTTACGGAATTAATCACGTTTGGAAAATGGCAGAAAAGCACCACCACTTGGCCGGTGCCATGAAGCTTCACTGTGATCGATAATTTTTTCTGATGATAACGTTTGAATGTGATGGACGGAAAACTAATTGTGGGGAAATCTGTGTATAGTTATTATTATATTTATTTAATGTTACTAGAAAACGTAGAGATAAAATTTGTTTTTAAAAAAATCAAACTTCAAAAATTTGTTGATAGTAACTTGTTTTTTGGAATAAACTCATTTTGAAACATAAATTATTACACATGTTACTATGACAACAATTTTTATTGATTTTTCTCAATCAGATTGAAACCAAGTTTTGGAGTCCGTAAGCTAGTTGTCTATAATAAAAATTTTTTTTTCCATATTAATACACTTTAAGTGTCATTAACAAAGGCAGTACGCGTCATATTTAAACATTTGCTACGTTTATAATAATTTCGCCCCTTCACAATAGTTGCTCTAGAGTAAACTAGCATTTATTATCCTCTTATTCGAATATGTTTGTTTAATATGGGAATTGTTGTCAATTTTGAGACAAAATTCTAACAAGGTTTTGTTATTATTATGCAGGGTCGATCATGTTTAGTTAATTAACAATAGAAACGGTTGAATTTCGTTATTTACAGAAACAAGAGTTAGAAATCGCTTATTATTATTGTTATTTTTAAATTATGATTTTCAGGCTATTACCAGCACCGTCAGGGAGACGCGTTTATATACCTGCAGAGCTAATTTCTAATTACCGCGATTAATTAATGTTCAATAAAATATAAGTTAAAGTTTATGTCAGAAAATTCTGAAACTTTCACCTTTCGCGTTACTCTTACACAAAGTCACATGAGTATTTCGCATTTTGCAGGAGACCCTTTTAAACTGTGTAAAAGAAATTAATTCGCCCTTAAATTCGACAAACACTTTTTAAATGTGGAAGTATCAAAGTGGTTATTTACCTACTTGTGGAGTATTGTTTTGATGCTGATAAAAAACGTAATACTCCGCTGTCTGATGCGAACGCCAATAGTGCCTATTTATTAGCTTACATAAAATCTTGATATAAATAGTTTGCAGTCCCAATGGCGCAGGTTTAACCGTGAAAATAACTTGAATAACAATAATTACGTCTGAAATAGCATAGATTTTGAATAAAGTTTAACTCGTGCAAAGCAATTCCAATTGATTAAATTCTGTTAACATAAAGTTCCCTGTATTAATGTCAACATTAATAACCATCTGTTTACAAGTCAACATTGCTGATGATGGTTGTATCATCCAGTCCACTATCAGTCTTAATAGCTGATAACCGATTAGTTTTAAAAACAGCATGTGCGTGTTGTATGGTGGGGGACACGAGTACTTTTCAAGTTTTCGAAGAAATCAGGGCCAATAACGTTACCGAAAATGTCAATGACTAACTATATTAACTTTATTAAGAATTATCATAAACATCAAATTTACTACTCTCATCTTTAATTACATCGTCTGTGAAATAGCAATTATCATTAATTAGAGGCGTTGTTTGTTATGGGATTATACAGAAAATCTGCTGGTTTTTTCCTTTTCCTCGCAAGCTCACGACACTGTTGAGTGCGTTTTTGTGGGTTTGCCACATTATTAAAGAGCGAAAATTTTTCGTTTTAGAAATTAAAGTTCATGAAACATATATTTCCACTTCGTTAAACCTTAAGAATGGGCCAGATTTAAGATAAATTTTACCAGAAAAGGCTTTTTCAAAAATTTCTGCTCACAATAAAAGATTAACTAAATTTTGAACAGTTATATCTCAAACCCAAAATGGCGTTCTTAATTTTGAATCATTAATACAGTAATGCAGTTTGAAATACATAGATTTTTGTTTGATGCTACTAATTATTTAAGAAATTTATGAACAGCAATTAAAAGACGATAATTTTAGCTTATAACTTCGAGTTGTAAGCTTTCCCTTTTTCTGACAATTTTATTGCAAATTCGTATAAATGAATCGCGTTTCGTATATCCTAAATATAGCTGGAACGTCCAATAGCTTAGCCCGCAGCAGTTTTTGTACTGCACAATGCCTAAATAAAAAAATAACTAATTCAAATGAAACAAACTACCATAAATACTGTAATTTGAATCATAATCAGAAACTGGTTTACTCACTCTCTCACTCTCTTACTCTCTTTCACTTTGCCTTAGCGTTTCGGATGTCAAACCTGTCTTAGTGGGCTAGAAAACATACCGATTATGAGGCACTAGCGCTATCGAAGCATAATACGATTTCTAATTGAAAATTCGTGATGTAGCACAATAAATGTTGAGTATCCTATTTCCGTGATTGTACTTAAACCTTCTTATTCATATTATATCGTTTGCATCAGGGACTGTTAATCGTACAACTTTGTTCATCATCAGAATATGAATACTTGAGACTTGAATGGATTTCTCGCAAATAATTTACTTCCTTATTTCAAAATTACCAATAGTAAGTTTGTCGATGGCTACTAATATGCATTTATGAGAGTCATTCTACTAAGATTCTGTGAGTGAAGCTATCCTTTATTCCTTTTCACTAAATTGTCAGACTCAAGGATTGCAATTTTTTTATCTGACGCTTATAGTGGGTAGTGTAATCAGTCAGCTTAATTGCAAGATCATATAATAATATGACAATCGCGATTGTAAAAAATGTCACTTATTCACAGACATAAATGTCTATAAGACATCTATTTTACTATAGAAAGCTGATATTTTTCTTTACCAAAAAAATGCATTAGCATGTCTGAGCGGAGTGCACTTGGCGGAACACGTGGTCAACCCTATGACTCGAAACCTTCTGGCTGAGTTCGGGACTTGTCGTAGTTCAGAACTCAGTCACTCAATCCAGAATTTAATTGTCTCGGGCCAGAACTGGGACAGGTCCTATATAACATTTGTACTACTACTACTACTACTACTACTACTACTACTACTACTACTACTACTACTACTACTACTACTACTACTACTACTA